CACATACACACATTAGATTTGTTCTTAGTATAATCACGAAGTACAAATCCAGGAACACAAAATATAAGGTGACAGAAAGCATTAAAATGCTTTTTATTGAATGATAATATATGAATAATAGAAATCATGAACTATTTCTGGAAAATATTCAATTGACTGAGGATATGCTACAATGTTTATTTTTGTTTATTCTAGTTGGCAAGTTATTATATCATCCATAAATGTCTGACTTCACTCAAAAAAGTCTAAACATTTGGAAAATCTATGGTTGGTTTCATGGGGCATAATATACCATATTTTCCATTTAACAATGCTGCTGGTAAAACCAGCTGCCCAGTCCTGCTGTTAGTGACTACAGTACATACAGCAAAAAACAATCTGCCTGCTGACCTCCTGCTTAAGTTCAAACTATGTCATTCTGTCAATACCATCTACCTTGATTAGGTTGGGCTTTATACACAACAGGTTATGATCCCAGAGGGATGAAAAGCTTTTCCAAATTAAAAGCAGAATTTTAAAAGGAAATACTCATACATTCCTATGCAGTTTCCATTTGATATCCTCAAGGCTGGCCCATGAACTCAAGCTCATGTTGATTGAAAGTGAATGTTTCTTTCTGGGTGTAGCCATCTTACAAATTTAATGGCAGGAGGAAAATAATAAAATGTGTTCCATGCTTCAATTAGACCTTTTATAACTTGGCACTTCAAAGATGGCAATGCCAAAGAAAAATCATTAATCCATAAAAATAGACAAAAAAGATTATATGGGAGAAGACAGACCTCCAGGAGTCTAGGGCCTTGGCAAAGTATATCCTCTCACCAATACGGTCTGTCTTTTATTTTACCTCATTGTGAGTTTTCTCTCAGGCTTCATGCTACTTGGATAAAATGTATACTGTGTTTGCTTCTAAAATTCAAAGTAATACAACCATGCCTTCAATTTTATCCTTAGCCAAAGGAGCTGTATACATAATTAGGCAATAAAACGTTGGCTAGCCATGAAATGCCTATTCATGCACATGAATGAGAGATGAAAGAACACACACACACACACACACACACACACACACACAGAGAGAGAGAGAGAGAGAGATTGAAAGAGAGAGAGAGCGATAATTGCAAAATACAGAGCCAAAAGATAGACCCTTCCAATTTTTAATTTGCAGTAGTATGCAACAGACTTACTCAAAAGGATCAGAGCCTTTCATAACTCCAGTCCAGATAACTACGGACACACAAATATTGCCTGAGTACTTTGAATCACAAGAGAAAATGGAGGAGTGATGTCTGGAACATGTGAGAGTCTGTCAGGACCTCTGAACTCATTCTCAAGTGATATTAACAGACTCTTTCAATATTAGAATGTATAAATTAGCTAAGAGTCAAGGGAGCAAGAGATTTCACCTCTCTTGGTCTCCTGCCATACCTAAAATGTCAGCACCAAACCTCAAACAATCCCACTGTGTTTCTTCCTTGCTCACAGTCCTGCAGTTTCAACGCTGCAGAAGACCGTTACCAAACCACAATGATTGGTACCATCCCTAGTTCATGCTGTGAGGCCCCAAACTACCTCCTAAATCCTGTGATCTCAAATTGACCCCCATCACATCCAAACTGCCCACCCACTTCTGGCCTCCCTTTCAACATCAAATTTTGGGAAGTACTTACTCCTGCATCCTCAACAGCTAATCACTCCTTAACTCCTGAATTCTAACTCCTGTCCTCATCATTCCAATGAAATTACACTCTAAACTTTGCCAGTCTTCTTCCGACCAACTGCCAAATCTCATGACATGGTTTTAAGCCTCTTTCTCTTAACTTCTTAGCTTTCCACTACTGTGTCCCTATTCTTCCATCTCTACCTGTCCCCATCTCCTTTCTTCTGTCTTTCTTTCCTGGGGCTACTGCTGCTGCTGGTGGTGGTGGCAATAGCGGTGGATTCTCCCCTTCCATACCCTGACTCTACCATTTCCTGTCCCAGACCCTGTGACACAATTTCTAACCTCTTTCTCTAGCACTGGTAACAATCCCTAGTGCCAAACTCATATTTTCAATGACTGTTGCACATTTTCACTTAAGAAGTCGGCCAGAAAAAAAAAAAAAAAAAAAAGAAGTTGGCCAGCACTTCAATATCAAAATAACCCAATCTAAAATGATGGCTTTAACCTTACTCCAACCACTCTTTCCATGTCTTCCTCAATTCTCTTCATAATTATACCTTTATTCTTAGTCATTGGGATTGAAGCTCGGTGTCAGCTCTACTCCTCTCTTTATCCATTCATATACTTTCTGTCAATTTTATTTCCAAAATGTTTCTTCTCTGTACCCTGCCCACCAGCCTAGTTCAAGACCTCCATACATTTCAGCTGGATACTTGCAGTAGCCTCCTGAATCATATTTCTACCCTCTTGCTATCAACCCTCTGTAAGATCTAATTCAGATGGTTGAGTACGGCACATTCCAACATAAGACCTTAGATGGTTTTCACTGCCTGTTAAAGTTCAGAGCTCTTGTCATGGCACTCAAGACCCTTTTCAATCTGTGAGCTTCCTTTTACATTTTATTATCTACCTTTCTTATCAACTACCAACTATACTTGCATTTTTTATACTTGCAAATTGATAACAACTCTTTGCATGAAAATATAACGAATATCTTTACACCAAAATTAGAAGTTTTTCCCATGAAAAAGTAGAAAATATATAATGAGAGATAACCACAACTTGCCACATGAGGCCAGTAGGAAAATCCCAACCATTAACAAAAACTCATTTTTCAAGGTCTCATTAATCATAGGACAATTTCAAGACTAATAAAAATTTAAATTGCCTACATAACAGAAATACATTTCAATTCAACCAGAGACCCAACACACTTTTAAATAGAGAAAAAAAGTATTAACTGACTTAAAAACACTGTCTATTTAACTCATGTAGCATTGCTTAAAGAGTATCTACAAAATTCTTACCTCAATGTTTTCTTGCAAAAGAAGTGGACACCAAAAGTACACAGACTCTCTTTAACAATGAACCATTGATAAACATATAATATTTATAACCGGTGTAAGATCTCACTTAGGTGCATTTTTTGAGCATTAACTTGCATTAGGCAATCCAATTTACCGACGTTTATCAGATTTCTTTCCAGTGAGAGTTTTCACTTAACTTTTTTTTTTGAGACGGAGTCTTGCTCTGTAGCCCAGCCTGGAGTGTAGTGGCACAATCTAGGCTCACTGCAACCTCCACCTCCTTGGGTCAAGTGATTCTTCCCTGCTTCACCCTGCTGAGTAGCTAAGACTACAGGCACGCACAACCACTCCCAGCTAGTTGTTTTGTTTTGTTTTGTTTTGTTTTAGTAGAGATGGGGTTTCACCATGTTGGCCAGGCTGGTCTTGAACTCCTGACCTCAAGTGATCTCCCTACCTCAGCCTCCCAAAGTGCTGGGACTACAGACATGAGCCACCATGCCCAGCCTCTTAACTCCTGAAATAATCATTAAATTTGGAAACATTCTTGCATCTTCCAAACTACTGGAGTTTCGATCCAGCATGCTTTCTTATATTTGTAAGGTCCATCTATAGTGCATGTTATCATGTGTCTGTGAACAGGTATCAGATAAATGAAGGCATTCCTACATTCTGTACATTCATAGGGTTTTTCTGAGAAATGAGTTGTTTTATGTCTTCAAATTATTCCTGCATTTTTTAACTCAACATTTTTCCTATGAATTTCTTTAGCTTAAAATAATACTCTTCTTCATCTTTGGCTGCTGTACTTTATTTATTCTTCAAGGTCTAATCCCTTGACAACCTACTACTCTAGTGTGCTGTTTACATAAGTGCTTGCCCATTATCTTTTTCCCTCTTTGCATCTACACAGAGCTTAGCTTCCTGCCTTGCATTTACCAGGTGCTGAACCTTTAACCTACTGTTTTCTTGAAGGCTTACCATATTCATTCTCCTGGAAGTATTCCTCACCTCCAGCTCGCCATGAACCTCCACCACAATCATTGCTTATACTCTCCCACATTACTCATCACACTTCACATTTTATTCTAGTTATCTGGTTACACGGTTTCACCACTAGATCACCAGCTCCCTGAGGTTATGCACATTTGCTTTGTTCTTACTCATATAAGGGCTAGGTAAGTGTTTCTCAACATGTGGCCCCAGACCAGTGTCATCAGCCTCACCTGGGGTTTTGTTAGAGATATTCATTTCTGAATCCAATCTCACACTTACTCAATCAGAAACTATGGGACAAGGCCCAGCACTCTGTTTTCATAGCTCTCCAGGTGATTCTGATGTACACTCCAGTTTAAGAATTACTGGAGGAAAAGAACGTCTTACATATAAGCACCCTCGATAAAATAAGACGTACATGAATTAACTGTTTATGTTTTCAATACTTAATGTTATATTGGCGTATAATTCTCTCAAACATTAAAAATAAAAGTAAGCTATCCATTATCATTTTATTAATATCTCAAACCTAACTTGTATGTTTTGAAGAATTTTTATAAATTTTTAAATAAAACTTGACTTATATAATTATAAAATATAATTTTATTCCTATTATAAAGTTCAAAACCAAGGGAAAAAATAGATTGTCTGGGTATGCATAGGTTTATAACTTGTTTTAAAAGGAAACCAGCAAGAGAGTGATAATCACAAAATTCAAGATCAGAGTTACATCTGGGAACAATAAATGGAGAGGATGAGAGAGTACATACCCAAGTCATTAGTAACATTTGGGGTCCTGAGCTGCATGTTGGGTTCAAAGATGTCTATATTATTAAAATTAATCAATTAGTTAATTAATTAATCAGGGTCATGCATTGATCAATAGTGATAGCATTTCATGAACTAAAGATTATTAATTAATCTAATTATATGTGCTGAGATCCATAAAACTTTTTAAAGAGATAAAAATAATTACAACCTATCTCAATTCTGTCCCTGGTATTATTGTTAATTACAGTGTTCAATGCTAATTGTACCTGTGTGCGGTTGAATGCCACTCTTGCAAAGACAGCTTGGGACACACTGGCCCTCTTCAGCTCATCTCTGACTTGCTGGTAGATATCTGGAGAGACTTCCACAGAAGAGTTGGTTGGCTCTGGCTTAACTGCTCTGGGGATGGGTGGATGGTTCAGGAACTGCTGGTTGATGGCTTGAGGATGCTGGTGAGCCAGAAGCCGGCTAACGGCAATCTGTTGGTTTATCAGATGGGCCATGGCTATTTGTTGCCTTACAAGTTGTGGACTGAGCTGGGGAGAAAGAAGACCAGGGCTCATGATGGGCTGTAATGCGGGCACTTGGTTTCTGATTGGAGTACTGTGGTGGATTTGGCTGTGAGGAGACTGTTCGTTGGTTTTCCCCAGGGATGCCAGCTGGTTCATATTTGGTAAATGCATTGGACGCTGGCCCAGAACACAATAGTCTGAAAGGTTTTCTCGTTCCACTCTTTCCACTGTTAAGAGATAACAATGATAATTCATCATTATTTTCATTGGTACAATTTATTGCTAATATTGTAGAACTGAATTATCGAACTTTTGGTATGTTAATAATATAAACATTTTTCAACCAATGATGGAAGTTCCAGCATAAAAGTGATATTTTTTCCTGCCAAGTGTTACAATAGATTTTTTCATGGAACATATGAAAGTAAAAATATCTGCAACTTCAATTTGTTAAAATTCTTAAAAGTAAGCATTTCATTAAATATCCAAGACAGAAACCAATGACTATTCTAAACCTTCTTGGATCCCCAAGCCCTATCAACCCCCCAATCACCCTTTGTTATAAGAGCACTAGCTGTTCTTAGCTTCTGTAGCATGCAGTTAATAGTTATCAGGAAATGACAAGGACAACATCTCCTGCCAAATTAAGTGCTACCTTCTAGTAAAAATCTCACATAGATATTATCATACAACTATGGAAATGTCCTTTAAAAAATGTCTACCACATAGTATATCCATTTATTGACTCATTTGCTTTTTGATACAAATGTTTCTTTAATGTTTGATATTTTAAACATTGTGATATACACTCAGATAAGAAAAAAAATCACAAAATTAATAATATCACCTCAACTTGCCATTAAATGAAGTTCTCCCCTCTCCAGGTTATCTGCTTTATTACATTACATTGCACTTTAATAAAGATTTAAAGAATAACCTTGAAAGGGAAAAAAAGTATCATACATGTAAAAGCATAAGGCAAGTATTTTTCTTTCCCTAAGATAATGTCTCAGGAAAGACAGAGTCACCTCATAGCCAAATCTCTATCCAAGTCTCTGTATTACTCTGTCATGAAAAACAAAACTCGGTTTAGAGAAAAGAAATAGGGCTGAAAGAATCCCATCATTATTAGTTTTAAATGCTTATATAGGTATAATATAATCTAACAAGATATCCTTTTGAAAGCAAAAATTCCATATACATTTTGTAATTATTTCTTATAATTGCAAATGCTGGATATGATTACGCAAAAGTCCATTAAAGATAACTTTAAGAAGCTAGAGATCAAACATATTCACCTACAGAGCACATTAAAAAAAATTGCCCCCCTATTATGCAAAGGGCACATGTGGTTTGGCATATAGTTAACAGTGACAGAATCACGTTTTTATCAAAAAACAATGAGTCTCAGAAAATTTAGGCAGAAATAATGTGTGCTGGACAACTGCATGAGATGACTCAAAACAGGGGAGTTGGTGATGTCAGGCACTGGTGCCAAACCACATGTGAAGCATCTGAATAAAATCAATGAACTGTAAGGGTGAAAAAAAGTAATATTTCTAAATTAATACTTTATGTAATATGTGATTTTAAAAATGTATGTGTGGAAGTAAATGAATATATTAAAATGTGGGTAGATATTTAACTATTTCATATCTATGTCTACAAGTTTTAGGCATGCAAAGTATCTCACTGAGAAAGCACGTGAACAGGCAAGTCTTGGTATCACCTTATATTTAGACATGTACAGTGCTTTTTCCTGCTTTTTTAAAAAAAAAATCTGAGTTCAGCCAGGGGCAGTTGAACTCACACCTGTAATCCCAGCATTTTAGGACACTGAGGCAGGTGGATCACCTGAGGTTAGGAGTTCGAAGTCAGTCTGACCAACATAGCAAAACCCCATTTCTACTAAAAATACAAAAATTAGCCAGGCACGACAGTATGCACCTGTAATCCCAGATATTTGGGAGGCTGAGTCAGGAGAATCACTTGTTGCAGGGAGTGTCTAGATTGCACCACTGCACTCCAGCCTGGGTGATAGAGTGAGACTTAGTCTCAAAAAAAAAAAAAAACAAAAACCTGAATTCTTGCTTAACATTCCTAAAAACTCCCAAATAAGTCAAGAGTTTACTTCAACTTATGTTAGGGCTCAATTTCTAACTTAATCCTTACACTGTTTGTTTGTTTTTGAGACAGTTTCACTCTTGTTGCCCAGGCTGTAGTGCAATGGCTCCATCTCAGCTCACTGCAGTCTCCACCTCCCAGATTCAAGTGGTTCTCCTGTTTCAGCCTCCCAGGTCACTGGGATTACTGACATGTGTCACCATGCCCAGCTAATATTTTTGTATTTTTAGTAGAGATGGGGTTTCACCATGTTGGCCAGGCTGGTCTTGAACTCATGGCCTCAGGTGATCCATCCGCCTTGGCTTCCCAAAATGCTGGGATTACAGGCATGAGCTACTGCACCCAGCCTAACCCTTACAATGTAATGTATTTGTTTTACATGTCACCTTTCCTTTATAAGATTCAAGATAAATTATTTTACTCATCTTCTAAAGGTGATTAGAAGATGAGTAAATTATTGTATTAATTAAACTTTGAAGTATATAGTCTTCAAACCAAGCAAATGGAGCTATCAGATAACATAATCTAACAGTTTCCATAGAACAAGAATTGCCATCATAATTTCCTCACTGAAAAGAAAAAGGTAAAGAGACCAGGAACTGCTTCCAAAGTAAAATCTTACAGACAAATGTTTGGTTTCAGTTAAATACTTGATTCACTTTTGCTTGTTTATTTGATTTTAATTCAGTCAAAGTAAAGGTAAATTCAGATATTAAATAATGTTTTCAGGTACTTAATAAGCAAATATTTTATCTATTTCATTTTTTTTGTGGGGGGAGGGGTTTGAGACTGAGTCTCACTCTGTCACCCAAGATGGAGTACAGTGATATGATCTCCGCTCACTGCAACCTCTGTCTCCTGGGTTCAAGTGATTCTCATGCTTCAGCCTACTGAGTAACCGGGATCACAGGCATGCGCCACCACCACACCCAACTGATTTTTGTATTTTTAGTAGAGATGGGGTTTCACCCATGTTGGCTGGGCTAGTCTCAAACTCCTGACCTCAGGTGATCCAACCGCCTTGGCCTCCCTAAGGGCTGGGATTATAGGCGTAAACCACTGTGCCCAGCCATCTATTTCATTTTCTACTTAAAATTCATCCTCCTATAAAATGCTTTCTTTGAAAAAAAATGTTAATTTTCCAAAGTTCAGGTATTTTCATTTTTCAACAATTTAATTACATTTGAGTGAGTTTACTTTCTTGAGATATATCTAAATCACATAATTAAAAAACACTTCATTCCTAGATCTAGTCAAAATCATGTACACAATTAAGCGTAAACATCAGAGCTCTCTGACACCTATACAAATTGGTGCAGTAAGAGTCTGAATAATGTCAGTCCCTATTCTTTAAGGTTATATATAATCACTATCCTTCTGAGCATCCAGGTAGATCCTTCTAAATTCTTATAGTTAAGAAGAGTAACTATGGAAGTATCTTGTAGAGAAATAGCAGCATACTACATCCATAGTAACTCCATGAAGTACTAACTACCTAGTAAACGTTAATGAAGAAATTGCAAATGCAAATATACCTACCTGTTCAAGTAGATAACAGCCATAAAAGCCAGCTACAGAAGAACTAGGTGGAGGAGAGAAAGTCTATCTATTTCAAAGGTAGCAACCACTATCTTACCTCAGCCAGTTTCTGTCTAATTTTTTTGTTTGTTTTGAGATGCAGTTTCGCTCTGTTGCTCAAGCGATTCTCCTGCCTCAGCCCACCAAGTAGTTGGGACTACAGGCGCGCACCAACTTGCCCAGCTAATTTTTGTATTTTTAGTGAAGACGGAGTGTTACCATGTTGGCCAGGATGGTCTTGATCTCTTGACCTCCTGATCTGCCTGCCTCGGCATCCTAAAGTGCTGAGATTACAAGCATGAGCCACTGCACCTGACCTCTAGCTTTCTTATATTGCTGTTTCTTTAGATTTTTTTTTTTTTTTTTGAGACGGAGTCTCCCTCCGTCGCCAGGCTGGAGTGCAGTGACTTGATCTCAGCTCACTGCAACCTCTACCTCCCGGGTTCAAGATATTCTCCTGCCTCAGCCTCCTGGGTAGCTGAGACTACGGGTGCACACCACCATGCCCAGCTAATTTTTTTGTATTTTTAGTAGAGATAGGGTTTCACCATGCTGGCCAGGATGGTCTCCATCTCTTGACCTCGTCATCTACCCACCTCAGCCTCCCAAAGTGCTGGGATTACAGACGTGAACCACTGTACCTGGCCCAATTAGATTTTTTTTCAAGAAAACATAAAGTCTGGATTTTACATGGTATCTCCTAATTTTTAAGTATTAGCAACTAATTCTACTTCAGAAGGCAACAAAAGCCAAACAAAACATTTCTAAAAACTAGATCTGCCCATGACCTGTGAGACTAGTCACCCTTTATGTTTTTCATTCCCTAACAGCTCTACCAATAAAAGCCAAGTTCTTTACTCCCAAGGATAAAAAAATTATCATCCCTACTTTAAGAATGCCTAAGGATCAAATGCTCATCAAAAGGTTGCATCTCCAATGACCGAGACAGAACACAATTTCAAAAACCATTTACACAGGTTTTGTCTTTTTTTTTTTTTTTTTTGAGACAGAGTCTCACTCCATTATTCAGGATGGAGTGTAGTGGTGCGATCTCATCTCACTGCAACCTCTGCCTCCCAGGTTCAAGTCATTCTTGTGCCTCAGCCTCCTGAGTAGTTGGGATTACAAGCATGTGCCACTGTGCCTAGCTAATTTTTGTATTTTTAGTAGAGATGAGGGTTTCACCATGTTGGCCAGGCTCGTCTCCAACTCCTGACCTCAAGTGATCCACTTTCTTCAGCCTCCTGAAGTGCTGGGATTACAGGCATGAGCCACTGTGTCTGGCTAACTTTGCCTAAATTGAGAACATTTTAATTTAGTTCTTACTGCCACTGTCATAAAAATAATATCAGAATAATGTTATAAGCCTCTTAAGTCACTGCAAGTGAAGTACAGATGCTTAAAAAAGAGGGAGCATCAGGATGTGCCAGACTGCAGTGGGAAGTTGAGCCTGAGCTTTATTTCTTTTTCTCTTTCTTTCCTCCCTCTCTTCCTACCTTCCTCTCTTTCTCTTCTTTCCTTTCGT